ATGGAGCTCTGTTTGGTATACATACGAGTGATCCATACAATGAAAAAATCCTAAATTCTCACCAAAGCTCATCTGCAGTATTGGTTGAGTGTAGATCAAATCAACTGCATGATTTCTATAGATGAACGAGCACAACTGTTCTGTGTGACTTCATCATCTGGGACGTCCCCCAAGCCTACATCCAGCGTCGTCACACTGGGTTGGACCTATCCCAGCAGAGAACTTTGACATTCAGTATTCCGAAACTGGTCTGAAATGCGCCCCAAAGAAATACCGTGGCGTCATCTGGCCAAAGGGGTACTGAGTGACTGTTTCTTTTTCGAATAACCCCCTGTCGAATGTAGTTGTAATTTCACCTGGATATAGACCCCACGTGACGGCTGATGTAACACCCTAATATTTTCAGTTGTCAGTCAGTTTATCGTTTGTAAATCATTTAACAATGGTACGTTGTTTCTAGCTGCCACAGTCTTGCATGCCATAAACAGGGGTGAGGCAGAAAGTTGGCCTAGCACTAGAGGCATAATCAGCTAGTTAACTATTTTTTAATTGTAACCACCTTGTGGAATGCGGTATTGCCAGAACCTTGTTAGTGACGCTATTGTTTGCACGTGAGCCATAATACTGTCCCGGCACCCACAATTAAAACGGCTGGCCTCATGGCATCGGGTAGGTGCCACCATACTGCAACCACAGAAATATGTATATTTTAGGAACAAATCGCTTTTTTATGCCGACCCCAAGCCCGGACGACAAAGAGGCAGCATCCGTTGAAGCTTTATGGACCGACCGACCCGTAATGATAAACTCTGTGATTGTAGAGCTCAGTGGCGAGTCGTTTGATGCGCTCATAGAAGTCTGTATTGTTGAGTTATACACCCTTTTCTCCTATCTCTGCTAAATATAATTAAAGTAAAAGTGGAGAGAGAGAGAGCAGTCAAACCTTTTTCGGCAGCTGAACTTGTCTTGTTCTACCTAGCATGAAGGTTTCAGCTGCGTGATAGACGGAGGTCAATAAATCATCATCGCAATTTCAGTACGCAAACCCAAGGACATGAACCAACCTGGCTACGCTTGAACAGGTTCAACAAAGTGACAGATTGTCCGGATTGGCCAAAGGAGAGTGGTTTATGGCGTTCTAAAATCTACTGTTCCTAATCGATGGAAGGCACGTTTGTTCATCTTCATTTATGCTTTTCTCATGCAGTAGCGAAAAACAAGTAGCAGAGGGCAATCGGATACCCAGGTTCCTTTTGTCTAGCCTGGATATGGTCCGAAACCTTCCACTGAACCTATTGCGAGGACATTTTCGAGATTTACGAGGAAAGAGGGATGCTTACATATCTTTTTCTAAGAGAGTGATACACGTTTAGTGTCCAACGTTCCACATAAGCGATATCCACTCGGCCCAACAACATAGATTCTAATAGACTCTGAAGCCATAGCCGCAAAAGTTGTGAGAGCATTTTCCACCCATGTCCAGGAAAGTTTATCGCAAATGAAATATCGAAACCGGTCTCATTGCCGTCACTCGGATGCTGTGTACGTTGATTTTATGGAGAAGTGGGATTTGGGATTTTCAATGGACGGTGTTCGTGAACTCGGGGGATATGGTGCCCAAAATAGGTCGGCCTTGTTTGGCTTAGTTTGATCTGTGCATAAAAAGCGGCATGTTCCTAAAGCAGGGGTGGATCGGCGAGATTCCGCTTTATGTTCTTAATATTATGTTTCTGGTAGATGGGTACGCCATGACACACTGGATTTGCGCACTTTTCTCTGCTCTGCAAAATGTGCTGGTGAGCCGGATAAACATATATCTAGCAGGTGCCAAAGCTCGGCAAATATGAAGGAGGCTGGTAAGGCAGTCTCCTTCCGAGTCGCAGGAAAGAACCCCTGTTGATGGATCGCCTGAACAGCTTCAAGAGATCATCCCCATTGGCGCGACGCTTCCCTCAGTGTCAAGGGATGAATATAATCTGGTCACGGGGTAGCTAAACAAGTTCAGTTTAATCGAAATTCAGAAAAAGATTGTTCCTGCGGATACTACGTAATGGGTTCAGGGCAACTTTGTGGCCTCTGATCATAATAGTTAGTTTATTTCTCCAATCGCATGGTGCATACCATTTGAGGAATGACCGATTCGTTACGGTATGAGTGTGTCTGGGAACAGTGCAACGGAGTGAAATGAACAAGAGTTGGGACAGTTACTACGTTATATTTAATCGAAACTTGTGGAAATAACAGAACAACTTGACAAGAGGCACACTTACTTCAGCGATGGGGTTGGTTGATTTAAACTGAAGCTGAAAACCGTTGCTGACCATGAATAACCTTGGGTAGTTGACGAACAGATTGGTGTCGCTGTAGATTTCTGGTAATGAAATTTTTAATTTACCTTGATTACTGATTGAGCCTGTCAGACCAGTTCGTGCCGATAAACCGGCCCCCAATGCAGTTAGATTTGCCTGGGAGAAGTCTCAAACAGAAGCGTTTGGATTTTTCGATCATTAAAACAAAATAGAGCAACAATCTACTGTTACCAGTTATCGCTGAACTTGGATGTGACGGTTGCGCTGTCGAGCGATGTCTGGATAGGCACCATAACAGGCCTTACTAAGGCGTATCGTTGCACGCCATGGAAATTACACGGACGAAGCTAGGCAATTTTCACTGCAGAAAGCTTTGATTTCACTGCACTTTCTTGCTGATAAGGTAAGCAGCGGTAACTTTAGGAAGCCCGGTAAAGCGAAATAGGAGGATATAAATCACCTCAGGTGAACTCAGAGGGCTGCGGTACTAAAGTAGCGGAAATGCGCGTACCTATTTCGCAGTTTTTTGCGATTAAGCTAGCCAGCATAGATTCCATCCCGTACCTTGTTTTTTGTAGGTACATAGATCTAGATTTTTAGGTTGAATCAACGCCCACTTCACCCTCATGAGATTTCCGTTGATCGGCAAAGGGGACGCAGTGACCACAGAAATATGGGCGAGGCATGGACATGGTCGTTGGGTCTTAAAAGAAATTAGGTTTTAGGTTCGCCATCAATGAGTCCCCCATTATAGGGCAGGTTTAGTGCAATTGTGCTGTGTGTGTGCGGGATCTCGCCTTCGCGGCGAAGTTTTGACTTGGGCTGGAGGGAGTTACTAGATGCTGTTGGTGCACATAGCTTCATCTACTGAAAACTCAGTTTGTCCACGTGACACCTGGTTTTTTATATGCCCTCAGGGTGATTAACCTATTAAGATGCACTACTTTTCTTTCTACGACACCATGAGTGAGACGAATGTGGCATAAATAGGTGCGTCAAATGCCACAGGTTCCACAAGATTGTTGGCGCAGTGGGCCTCTTCAAGTAAGGCATCGAATACAGTCATTTGAAGCTTGAGCTCTGCTGACCTACAGAGGCTGGCCAAGGCTGGCCCAACCATGGGAATCCAAAAGTGACCCTACCAACGCTTTCAGAATTACCGCTTAATTACCACAGGTTGCTTTTCCGTCCGACCGGGTTTCATGGACGAGCCAGTTGTTGAAAATTTTGGCTGTGGCAACCAAAGGCAGGTGTGTGTAGAAGCGAGTGATCATTGAAAGGAGCAGAGTTTGTTTTCAACTTTCTGGTATTTGATGCCCTTTCGTAAATCGGACCTTTCTGCGCTTTGGGCAGAACCGTAAGTTGGGATTGTAAGTTCCAACAGTGGTCCACAACGGTGGCAGAAATATTTGTATGGCTACTTAGCCATGCCTCTTGGATTATTATTGGGTAGTAAGATGCTTAATTACTAGAAGTCGCAATAAAGTTGACGGAGGCAACTGTGAGTGACGTTTTTTGGTATTACCGCATCCAAATGAGATCGACGAACCTGAAGTTTAAACAAAAAAGGCGAGAGCCACATAGCATCAAGGCTTTTATGATTGGTGAGCCATCGTTTTACATCTCACGCTCTTTTTATCCACCCCAGTAGATCGCGCCTTGGTCTTCTATAGGTTGCAATAGTGGCCAGTGTGCTCAAAGTTTGGGATGTGACCACGGTAGAAAAATGTTTTTCAATTAAGGAAATTGATGTGTGGCTATTATCCACAATCGGCGAAACATTGCTCATTTTCAGTGAAAATACACAGCCGGGATCCAACAGTCGGGGCGAGACCTGCTGTAGAATACTCTTTAAATCTTACTTGAATGTGGGACCTCGCAGACCGCGAATTTTCGGACTCAGCTTCCACATCTGCGCGGACGAACGTAGCTGTTTTAGAGAGACAGAATAAGTTAGGAAACTGGACACCAACTTGTAGCACTTGTAAACTGCCCTTTTTCATGCTCAGTATCATCTTCTTTTTCCCCATCATTATCAGTCACATCGCTGTACAAAAGTTTGTTTTACTGAAATACAACCGCTACCGCCCGCTCGTTGGCTCCAACGTGACTTCGAGACTTTTGCTGAGTGACTGTTGTTGTGACCGCTGGTTGGCTATATTTGACCGCTGCTAACACCAAACGTGAACAGACACCTCAGCTGCAAACACTGGACTAATGTATTCACGCTTGTGGAATAATATTTCGACCACCGGGGATCTGGGATACCAGGAAGATAGAAATATTCTTGGTGTGGGGTTTCAACGGGATATGCAACTACGGAATCTTATATTTTGAACTGTGAGTCAAGATTTCCTTGTACTTTTCTTTTCGTGACTTTGTATCTGGCTTACATCGGTAATTTGTTCAGCTCACTAGAGACTCCATAGGGCCGTTAACCACTACATAATTGGTGAGCCCGAACATTTTTTGCTGTTTTCTATTTTTCTTGCTAGCTCAGAACTCCCATATCTCTCACGCATACACTTAGTCCAGTAATCTTTTTCAGCCATGTCTAACGAAGACGGACTCAACACTGTGTTGGTTGAAAACGCCGTTCACGTATAACTGCCAACTTTTGAACTCAGTAACCCTAGAGTATGGGTTATCCAACTAGAATTTTACTTCCATTTCCGCCGAATTACCTCACAGCAGACCATGTTGTCTTACGTGGTTTCTCAACTCCCGACCGAGGTTGCCGCGGAGGTTATTGACCTGATTGATCCTATGCCGGCGTCAAATCCTTATACCACACTAGAAGCAGCGATTATTAAACGGACAGCCACCTCGGACGAAGCGAATCCTCAAAAGTTGCTTGCAGGGGTCGAACTGGGTGATCGCACACCTTCGCAACTGCCACGGCACATGCAAAGCATTGCATGCGGGAAGTCTTTTGACGAGGCCATTTTAAAGCAGTTGCACTGCCAAATTCTGGCTACTCAGTCAGATGTCCCTCTGTCGTCACTCGCTGAGACGGCAGATAAGATCCACGAATGCGTCGCCGACCGTTTGATAGCCCCAACATCACAAAAACCCATTCAGCGTAACGACAACCCTGTTATGGCACGCCTCGATCGAATGCAGGCGCAAATCGATCAACTGGTGGCCACGGTAAACAAGGTAGTCACCACAGCGGCGCGGACTAACACGTCACGCAAGTCCCGTCCGGTTTCACGTAAACCGGCCTCTCCATCTCGGAATCCCAACCGATTTTGCCATTACCACACGAAATTCAAAGGCAAGGCTCTACGTTGCACACCGCCATGTGCTTACGTCTCCCATGACCAGGGAAACTTACTGGCCAGTCAGTAGTGGTGACAGCTGCCACTGGCCAGTCACCTAATCGCCTTCACTACGTTACGGACAGAACCAACGGAATGCGGTCCCTCGTCGACACCGGTGCAGAACTTACCGTTATTCCTGTCGGAAACTCGAAACGCTACACTTCTAACCCGCTAACGGAACTACAGGCGGCTAACGGCACGCGCATAGCTGCCTTCGGTCATACGTCACTGACGCTTGACCTGGGTCTTCGCCGTTCATTCCCCTGGATTTTCACCGTCGCCGACGTACACGTCCCAATCATCGGCGCGGACTTCCTGGCCAACTTCTCGTTGGCCGTCGATATTAAGCGGCAAAAGCTCCTGGATTCTTTAACGTCGCTTTCCGTTCACGCTGGTCGTGAACGACAAAAAGGATTACCAGCTAATGCTTTTAGAGAAAATGGAAAAAAATCCGAAGCTTCTCTCTTGGATCATCAATAATACGGCGTCTGTGAAACCGGGTATTTCACCTCTGCATACCCCTAATGGACTAACGGCCACTGCGTCAGCTGCAGCTGAAGAACTGGCGGAGTTCTTTTCCACTGTTTACTGTAAAAAGGAATATATAAGCCGGATGTCGTTTATGTCTCCCTCACCGCCCACCTCCCTACATGAAGTAATTGTGACTCCAGAATGTGTACTCCGAACGTTGCTCGAACTAAATCACACAAAATCTCCCAGTGCCGATCAGATAACACCATTTATCCTCAAGCAGTGTGCTCATTCCCTATGCACACCTCTCGCTGAGTTATTCAGTTCGTCCCTAAATAACGGTGTGGTTCCCACCGACTGGAAGAGGGGCGTTATCACTCCCATATATAAAGGAGGCAATCGTTCGGTCTTGTCAAACTGCCGGCCGGTGACTCTGTTGCCGGTGATTTCCAAAGTGCTTGAGCGACTGGTGGCAAACAAAATCAATAAACACTTAGAGGAAAACGGATTGCTTTCGGCTGCCCAGCATGGTTTCAGAAAAAACAGAT